CCCATGGCAACCACTGCATCTTGGAACCACAGTTTCCATTTTGTGGAAAAGAAGAAAAAACAAAAGAGGAAATGAAATGACAGGTGAAAAACATGACACCCARGAGAAAATGCAGTGGTGATAATTGTGTAGCACAAACCCTGCTACTGAGACTGTAGTAATGCCCACTGTATCTATTTACATATTTCATGTGCTTCCATGCGTGAATTTTTGCTGATACATACATTTTATATAAAACTACAGTTTTCCCATTTCAACAGTAATTCTGGTACCAACCATCATAAAGTAAGACACTGAAACATGAAAAAAGAATGAAAAAGTCCTTCTATAGAAATATGYATGAACATAAGTAGTTTAATTACAAGAAGAAATATGTGCCCTAATAAGAAGGTTTTCATATACTTCTTTCTTCAAAGCTAACAGTTTTGTCCAAGTCCTTTCTACACGACTGTTAAGATTTTTAGAAGAGACTAGGCTTCAAAACCCTAATTTGTGTTTGTATATAAGCCCTCTATTGCACTTCTCATTCATGTTGGAAATATCCACTAGACACAAATTTCAAAATTTTGTTCAGGTACGAAGCTGGCAGACTCAAGGCAACAGCGTCTGAAAGTTGTGCTCTAACTTCTGCAGCAGCCCCTTTTAAGGGTCAGAATCTATTTTCTCTAAGTGTAATATAACACCTGTAGGAATACACAGGCACACAAATATTTTTCCTGTCTCTTTGATATCCAAACAAAAAGCTGGTGCCATGGCTGAAGGCACTACTGTAAGGCATCAACCTGGCACTYGGTAAAGCCTATAACTTACTGCATGACTGAGCTCCAACACAAGTCCATRTTACCGTTGTGCTGGTGCATTTTGGGAAGGGCACTCCCCACCCATCCCTCCGTGGTGACAGTTCTGTGATGACCTTGACTCCTGGCTCAGCACACTTTGCRGCGATGGCCACTGTCCAAATGACTGATATACTTAGCATCAGAAAGTAATTCAAATTCTTTCAGTTCGTGTCTTTGGTCTGGAAAATTATTCCTCTCTTTAGTCACTCTTTAATGACAGGATAACATTTCCCCCTTCTAATCATCCACTTGCAAGGTTACTTCATGTCCCCCTGGCTCATCCAGGGCTGAAGCTGAAGCGTTCATGACGAGCACATGCAAACACACGCGCTGTGCTTTGTGGCTGCACTGCCGTGCCGAGGGTTGGTACTGGGGACAYGCACAATCCCACATGGCCTTCATCAGTTTCGCTTGGTGGCAGTGCTATATACTTAGGGAATGTTTTTATCTGGGAATTAAGCAAGAGTTTTAGGGAGCTTAGGTAAACAAATACTTAAGTCTACTGGACTGTATTCTTACAGTGTCCTAATCATAAGTCACTTGCAGAATTTTGAGGCTGTAAGTGAAGACCGTATTTTGTCAAGACAAAGCACTATTTTTTTTATGCAAGCTAAAGCTGTTCCCCTGATGCAGCAATGATCTTGAATTACCTGAAATGGTTTTGTCGTATTTCCAAGCTCAGTTTGATGGGGAAATAATGCAACAGGTAGTTAGTGCAAACAGGCATTAAGAGGCTTGGGCTGTAGAGACTCTTGATGGCTTTGACATTTGCTGAAGTAAAGCTGATGGCAGGACTGGGCCCAAAGTGACCTGCTTCTCATACGAGGCAGTATCTCTGCAGGCAAGGAAGCTGAGGAACCAGATTTTCAGACTACAAAGAGCACTATTGTGTGAACACTGTGAGGGTATTGAAGGGAGAGGTCCAATCCYGTATGACATTTTTACAGGTGCATAGTTTCAAACATGAGAATAATCATACTGCTGTCAACGAATTGCTTACGAAGTTAAAATGAAATGCATGCTTTGTTGGATTAAAGCTAGGGCACAATCTCACCAAAATCAATCCCTGGTTCTTTCTATTTGTACGACTAGGTCAATCTGTTCCCCCCCATTACCTTTTGCAATAGCAATTAATTTGCAACATATTGATCTGTCACAAGATTTTTAATTCATATAAAAAGAATGAGTGGCAGCCATTGAGATGCAACATTGACCAAACCTAACAGGATGGCTGATTTGCTGCTGCCTGCACCTGCCTTTCATGTGGATGAATATTGCAGAGATGTGTGTCACTTTCACTACCATGGGCCTTTACCCATATTCACAATTCAGCTGGAGCACACCCCTGCCTGAAGTTATCCTGGTGCCAGAATGCAGCTCCAAATACGATCCAGTGTCAAGTGCTGTGTGAAAATRTTTAAAGAGCAYTCATTTGCTAGGGGCYCCCTCTGGCACCAATATGTTTGCAYGTCCATTATAATTTTAAAAGTAACTTTGAAGACAAGCGACAATAACTGGGTTTATTTGAGGTCTTACCRGAGACAGAATATCTTTCTAAATTATTCTGAATATTTARTTAATGTCTTTTTTTTTTYCTCCTAGTTCCTGTTTTATTAGTTTTACTCTTTTTAAAAAGTTACTCTATTAAAGGAACAACATATGTAATTCCAGTCTTTCAAGCACAGGCACATAAAACTGCAAAGATGAGACCACGAGGCAGGAATTTGCAAATACCATTATTTTAAATACCTTCTTATGCTAAAGAATTGCAAACATAATTACACACTTGGATGCATAAACTACGAGCAGACTCTGCTCTCTGCTGGATCTTACTCTTCCTSTTCTTATTCCCCATACAAATACATCGTTTGGGGGGTGGGGGGAGCTAATAAATAAATTTCATAGCCAGGTGCTTCATTTTAARCCCCCAAGTTTAACGCAGTGGCTTTCCCAAGATGACAGCAGCCGCTGTGACTGATGCAGCGCCCGGTGACATCCGCAGCCCCGGTTGGCGGGGCTGGGGGGACCTCTCGTGGTGGCACTGGAGGGAGCAGCCCTCGGTCCCTCTGCTCTCGGGCCCCTACAGCAAAGCTGAGCCCAGGGAAAGCCGACTGGAAGTGGGAAAGGGAATACAAGTACAAATTAAGAAGAAGAAATTAAATAACGCTGTGACTGTAAAACAGGTGTGGTGCTGGAATATGTGGCAAGGCAAAAGTGGTGCAGCATCTGGAGTGCAATTCCTGTGAGGAACAGCTGAAGGAGTTGGGGCTGTTTAGCCTGGAGAAAAAGAGGCTCACGGGGACCTTCTCACTCCCTACAACTGCCTGAAAGGAGGGTGTAGCCAGGTGGAGGTTAGTCTCTTCTCCTGAGTAACAAGTGGCTGGATGAGGGGAAATGGCCTCRCAATATGCCAGAGAAGGTTTAGTTTGTCTATTAGAAAAAAATTCTTGTTTGAAAGGGTGGCTGTGCATTGGAAGAGACTGGCCAGAGATGTGAAATCACCATCCTTGGAAGTGCTGAAAAAATTTGAGGCAGTGGCACTTAGGAACACCTATTTTTGGTGGATTTGGCAGAGCTGGTCTAGGGTTTGGACACCATGATCTTTTCAAATCTAACAATTCTATGATTCTTTGAATATCACAGAACCACAGAATGGTTTGGGTTGGAAGGTACCTTAATGTTCATCTCATTCCAACCCCTCTGTCATGAGGAGGGGCAGGCTGGTGTTGTGGGTTAAGGTTTCTMCTTTTGTTTCCTTTCTTGGGGTATTTTTGTTTCCCATTTTGTTGCTGGGATATACTGATTGATRTACATCAAAAGTCGTTCTTTTGATGGCTGGGCAATTGGGGAAACGAAAAAGAACCTACACCTACACCTACACCGCACCCACCCCACCCAAATGATCTCCCTGAGCACCCCTGCCTGGCAGGTGGTTTTTGGGTTTTTTTT